GGAGGTATGAGGCCGAACTGGTGTACCTTTTGGGAGAACTCACCAGTCGGTGAAGGCCGTTTGTTCCGTCCTGGCTTTCTGAATTGAACGCTCGCTTTGAGTCGACCACTACCTGGCCCAGTTTGTCCTTCACCTCGCTGTGTCCGCGAGGCCCAGCGGTTATGGTCCCAGATCAAGTCTTCCGTATATTCCCCCGTGATGCTCTGTTCCACGAGCCCAACGATGTCGACAGCCCAGCCTACAAAGGGCAATGGGACCTCGTTTTAATGGACAAACATGCCATCGCTTCCTTGTACATTTACCTTATTTTCATGACGCAAACTTGAAATGCGATACATCCAAGGGCTCTTTTTTTAAGGTTTTTAGTCATTTTGGGAAGGAGACACCGGCCTATCGAACCTGAGCTTGCTGCCCTGAGGGGAACTCCCGCAACATCGTTTGCCGTGCCTCCTGGGAGCTGCAAGGCATTTTTTCCTCCACGAGGTATATAGTTGCCCATCTTTTTCGTTTGCTTTTTTTGCCTCCTGGTTTTCCTTAATTCTTCCATTCGCCCAAACCCTCGACCACCTATATATCTTCGTCGTCTGTGACTTTCAGTCAACAGAACCCCGTTGTCTTGCGTAGACGTGCCTTGCTTTCCCCCCTTGTCTCCTCTGTATAATCATATCTCGTACCCACAAAAAGCTGTCCTTCATAGCTTAGCCTCATATAGCATGACGAGCCAAACACAACCTCGAGATGGCGAGCGTATCCCAGAGTTGCAACTCCTCATTCCTCCCTCCACGACGCAAATCGTACGTATCCATCTCTTCTATTTTTACTAAACTAATTTTTATATCTCTCATCTAGGCTGGCTTGAATTCTCGCCACGGTACCAACTACGACCATCAGTACCACCAATTCAATAACCAGCCATCAGCCTCCTTTGTGCCACCGGAGACAGCCATTGAGCCCACCTCCTCCATCTCCGAGGCCACTTCAATTCTCCACGCGCTCGAAAAACAGGCCTCGACTCTTCAGCAAGAACGGGACAAGGCCGAACGCGTTTATCGAGAGGCTCAACTCTCGGTCGCTCGCTACAGGGCCCTTTGTGGACAGATGCACAACTCGCAAACCCCCCTCATTTCTCAACTCCCAGTAGAGCTCCTCATCCATATCTTTCTCTTCCTCCAGAATACCGTCGTCGCCTCCCAAGTGTGTCGCTACTGGAGGGTAGTCGCTCTCTCATGCCCAAAACTTTGGTCCTCCTTGCACGTCCACCCTTCCAAAGGCTCAAAACATTTAGAGAATCTACTCGCTAGATCTCTGGGACAAAATATCGATGTCTGCTTTTGCCCTGTGCCAACCATCCCGAGACCTCCGATCCCTCGCATGCACATGAACCCACAACTGTCACT